GTTTTTCGTTTTTTTTTTTTTTTTATACTCTTTTTCTTCATCCGCGACGTTAAATCGATCATTAAGTCGTAAGATACATTTCGTTAAAATAAAACTCCCTTGAGATTAAATGGAGAATAAAGTTTTGTTATCTTTTTACCCTCCCTAGAGGTAATGAGCCAGAAACTTTGAAACTTTTTGACAGTCCAACGTCTTTTTATCGAGAAAAAATTTTTTTGATACTTACAACGTGACCAAAATATTACCAAGACTTCATTTCCTCCTTCGAAAAAAATCGTAAAATGAAATAATAAAGTTAATTTATCAAATAACATTAATTTTATCTTTGCTGCCAATTCCTTGCGAAATTTATTAATACTGTTAATCATTCTTGTATTCGACTGCCCGTTCCTTCTGTTAAATAATTTACCCCAATAAATTAAGAAGTTTACCGTATCATATCGACTTTCGTTGTGCCTAAAGTTCGGGAGATGAATTAAGACGTGACAGCTGTGTGATATAATTCCTTTCGAACGATAACACCAAAAATTTCTACCGGAGGGGAAAAGCCCCTCTGCAATGGTTAGCGTTCGAGGATTAAACCGAGACATTCTGCTACGCGGCAGAATCGTAGGGGTGGTTCGTACGACGGCAGTCCGACCCGCCGAGGGAAGCAATCCCTCGAACTTTCAAGCGGTTTAAGTCTAAATCTTAAACAGCACAAACACCGGACGGTGCGCGGCCACGCCGCTTTCGTGCGGCAAGGATGTGCTAAGAGCTTTATAAAAGTTGAAATTGAAACGGCGAGGGGGAAAGCCTCCTCCCCCTCGAACCCGGTAACGGAAAAACGTCGTATTGCGTATAAACCCCCTTTCCGTTCAGCTTTATCCCATTGCAATTCTAGCCGCAGCGGAATAAATTGGATATACCGACAAATGTGAGAGTATCGTACCGCTTGTTTCTCTCCGGGGCACGCTTCTGTCGAATGCATACGAATAATTCGCGCGTTAAGCATTTGCGGCTCTTGCATTCCGCGATGAAATTAAAATGAGATGCGCATTTCATCGATATTTCACGCGACTGCTAAGAATTAAAAACAAAGAGGCAAGCGCCGGAAGTTTAAAACATTGGGGAAACTCTTCAAATTTAATCTGATATTTTAAAATTTAAACATTGCCGGGATTGTTACGTTCAATATGTAAATTAAAAATTTATCGCTTAGCTCTTGAAACAATGCATTTTCCAATAATGCATTTTTATCTTTTCAGACTTTTCAGAAAAAGATCAAATCCGCAAATGTGAATGTAAAAGATCAGATTTTTTTGATTTCTTCCATTATATAATTTTGCTGAAAATATTATCTAATCAGAAATAACTATGAAGAGACGATAAATTAGCTAAAGAGACGCGATTTATGCAAAAATCAGAAAAAAAAAAACTCGCGATAGTCGGGAAGCCAGATTGCGAGGAACAGAGACGAGATCCCGCGAGATACATCGCCGGGTTCAGGGTTAACGAGTGCGCGACGCGACGACTAGAATAATAAGGGTAGTTAATAGAACGGGCGTAACCACCCTTGGTGTTTATCTCCGAGGTGCAGTGACGTTTCCATTTGGCCCCGCCATCCGCTCGGTGGAGTTTTCGGAGGCAGCTCACGAACGTTTCCCGGTCTTGCGGTTGCCGACTGTCCACGCGAGCTGTTCGCGGGGTGTGGTAGACGCTACCGACTAATTCGGTTGCATCCCTCGTCGTTTGGGGTTGCGGCGGGCACGCGACGGTGATCCCAGCGCGTTTAACGCGCTTAATATCTCACGATGCGATGCCCGGCACTCGTCTCCGGCGATTAACGCATGTCGCAACAATTATTTAACCCGCTAGTAACGAACCGGAGAGTTCTCGCTCACTCCATCCGAAGTTACATCACCTCTGACGAGGTGAGATGTTCCCTCTCGATCGATCGACTCCGTAGCGATACGGAAACTAACTACGCAAACGAGGTTTTTGGCTAAAACCGAATTAACCGTAGTTCCGCGTTAGTTAACAAAAATTTGCATTTCGCAGTCGACACTCGGCTTGCGGAGCGCAAACTCTAATCGCAATTCAGCCGATCCCGACTCCTCGAACCCTCCCTCCCTTCCTCCTCCACCTTCCCTTTTCTCCTCCCCCCCCTCCCCCGGACTACGGAGGAGTTGCGGAGAAATTTTGCTTCCGCCGAGTCCCCGATGTCTCTTAATTGACCCGAGCTGCGGGAACGTGGCATATCGATCGCGCGAGTCTCAAGGTACTAATTCAATGATACATGTTGCACCGATACATTCCGACACACGTGAGCGCGATCGCGTTGCGGATTCCGCGCATTGATTATGCCGTTACGGGGAGGGTCCGCAGGCCGCAAACGCCACGCCACTGAATAACTCCTGAACGCCGCTCTCTGTTTACACCGTTCTAATGATTAATTCATGCGCATTATCCCGGATGCAGTCCGCGTTCGTTCGGGCCCGATTTCTTGTGCGTGTGCGAATACGAGTGACGCGCAACGGGGTGACTTCGCTAAATTCATCGAGCGTGTGCGCTTAATGGCAGAAATTGGAAACGAGCGCATCCCCTATCGTCTAATCGAGGCTTCGATCAAATTTCGGCATGCGGAAGAAATGTCGCCGGAATATCGTCGAAATATTTGAATCTCGTCTTATTTTTATGACGTATTTTTTTATATAATTTAAATATTTATTAAATATAAGAAAAAAAGTTTAAATTATTCCAACTGGAAATATCATCGGATTGAAGATAGTTACATCATTTATAGCGATGGTTGTAAGCTCATTTGGAACATCTTGTTCCCTTCAATCGTGAATTAGTACGAATTTCAGTCGCTTCTTAGCGCAGCAAAACTCTAGACGACATCATTAACGTCCGATCGAAGCAATTTTTCTGCAAAATGAAAAGTGGATCCTACGATGGTCTTTCCGGGAGAGGAAGCTCGGCGGGAAGTCGTCGTCGAACGCAACGTCGTCCCCGAACTTCTGATCGCGTGATCCAACGGTAATTCGATTCCCGTCGGCCACTTTCATCGAGCGTTAATCGACCGGCGCGGATTTCGAGACGTGGAAAAAGCGAATTCGCGCGACGACGACGACGACGACGCGGGTTGCCTCGCATCGTTCCCTCGGCGAAGATCTCGTGTAATTTATGAACGTGCAATTAAGTCAGCCGCTTCTTGCGAGGCGAGGTCAACTCATCGAGAGAGCTCCGGCCCAACCTCTCACTCTCTATCACCCCCTATCTCCCCATCTCTCCCTTGTTCTAAAGCCACTGCGACATCACGCAACTTTCCAACGTCGCACCATCGTCGTCGCGAAATTCTGCTTTCACTTCGCAAATTACTTCCAAGCCATTTCGCACGCTCGCTATCTTTCCGAACGTCATCGGCCAGGATGAGCGTCCGGAAAAGAACGAGTATCTCGTACTCTCGAGAATTCATGACACGGATAGAGTGCACATGTGACGAGTCTTTTCTTTTGTTCAGAAAAGCAGAGGCGTATAAAAACTAAAAACTCGTCTCTTCCTTAAAGAAATTGGCAAAAGTCCGAACTTTTAAAATGCATTGACAAAATAAATATATAAATTTATCTTAGAGATTTTGTATGCAGAATAATTGATTGATCGAAATGTAAATAGCATGAATAATAACATCAATGATTATTATATTATTTTTTATAGATAATTCTTGAATTTATAAAATTAATAAATATCGTTCTATTTTATTTTAATTATAGATCTTTAGATTTTTTTCATTATTTAATTAATTTCTGATCTTAGCTAAATTCACAAATGATAATTATTAAAATAATGACTGTTCAATCTTTAAATTAATCTCAATTTTTAAATATATCTTTAATTAAAAAGCGTTGCGTCTTTAATAAAATTTTAATAAATTTCCATTTTAATACAAATATATAATTATTCCGTAATTAAATTTTGAGTAATAGATAAATTGTATGTTAATACAATGTTGACTAATTCAATTAGCTCTGTTTCATTAAATTATGTGTCTGTAGCAAATCGATCGTGCTGCCGCTGTCCCAATTCGCAGCAAAAAGAGGCTGAGATTGCCAGAAAGTTCTTCAAGAAGTGAAAATGTAATCTATTTGGTTCAATCGCTAATAGTAGATTATCGACGTAGAAGTTTTAAGTAATTGGGCTGATCTAGCTTCTTGAAAGGACTTTCCTGTCGAAGCTTCGAATAATCATGTCTTATTCAGATATCCATTTCATTAATGATTTATATTACAACGCATCTTCATTCAATCAATTTCTATTTTCTGCATTTTAAATTTCCGTACTCAAAATAACGCAATTTATTTGTAATTTTTATCAACAGTTTATATTCGTATGTCATCCATATTATTGTAATAAAAATACACGATATTACCAAATTATTATCTATTCCACCGTTACAAAAAGTTTTAAAAAAATCTGAAAAAATTTCGGAACGTCGCTTAATTAGCGGAATATAATTTAGCTTGGAATAACTTCGTACTTACACGTAGGAATCCTCCCGATCCCACGATACTATCTCCGTCACAACGAAATAGCCGGATGTTAAGGCGGTGGTGGTCGGCTTGCCGCTGGTTGCATTCGTAATCAGTACAACGTGTCGCCAATTGCTGCCGTCCTTCTGTCTCTGTGGTAATATTAGAAGAAACGACGTACCGTCCATGCTGAATATAGGCGCTTCGAACTGTTCCACCCAGCCATTTTTCTCGCTATATGAAAGCGCCTAAGAGCAATCAAACGTACCACGGTCATCAGCAAATTGCGTTTTGTCGCATTTAATTAAATCGTATCTCTGTTCATGAAGAAACTTTTAAAATTACCTTGCTGTTGCATCGTGATTTTATATTCGTATTTCGCGTATATTCTTGAAAAATTAAATCAACATTTACACTTTCCGCGAAAATTTATGAGCTAATATTTACAACAAAATATACTAACAAAATGATACTAACAAATGATCTTACGAACAGATACTTGTTTGCCTTTTCCTTTTAATTACAACGTAAAATAAAAAAATATATGAAAAGTCAAACATAACGTAATTATCGTGTCTCTTTCCTTCCTTTAGATATTTTCCGTCAGCTAATTCGCACTTTGAGCGTAAAAAAAAATGTTTCTCGAGAGAATTATTTATCTCTGTTAATTGCACGCTTCTGACGCGAGATTAAATTTATTACAGAATTTTGTAACGCGAAATCTTCCGATATTTGAAATTTGTAACGCCAAAGTTTCCTAAGAAACAGTCGCAAAAGACTCGCGCGAAACTGCGAATTAGCCGCGGGCGGACGCGCACTAATTAAAATACTATTGCCCAAGGAAGAACGCTTGCCTAAATTAAGATCCGCGAAAGCTCTCGGGAAAAGAGGAAAAAGAGTGAGGAAAAAAATCCAAGGAAAAAGAGAGAGGAAGAGAACGAGGTCTCGATAAAGGGTATTATCAAACGAGCCCCTGCTTCGGACTCCGCGCTATATCCGGAACCAGAGGATCGTCTTCGTCGCGCGAGGATGAAGAAATACCTACTGTCGTGCAATTTGGCAGCAGGCCGTCGACGTCGCAAAGCTGGAAATACGCCCTGTTCTGCACCCGGTTCATCCAAGTCGCGTACACGAGATCATCCGTGGGAAAGTCCACCGCCGACAGGATCCTTTCGGAGGTAGACAGCTCCGGCGGATGTTCGATCTCCACCAAAGTCACGTTACCCTGCACCACCATGTCGAGATCGACGCAAAATAGTTTGACTGTTGGATTCGTCGTGCCGCTCTGGAACGGGAAGACGGATTTCTCATAAGATGGATCGACGTCGAGTAACGATGGTAAAATAGCGGAGTAATGGACGGAGAAAAGCACGTATGTACCAATAAAGGGAGGTATACGGTTCAATCGATCCATCGGTAATAAAACGGGATAGATTTA